GGGGGGGGGGTCGGGAGCAGAAGGGCCAAGCCTCAGGGCCTGCAGACTGAGCCCACGGTCCTTAGTGGGTGCGTGGGGCCTCGTGTCCAGGCCTTGTTCTGGGCTGGGCCTGCCCCCAGGGCAGAGCTCTGCATTTAGGGGAGAAGCCCTGAGGGGCAGCCGAGGCTGCAGTGGGGGCCTGTTTGGCAGGGGCGTCTTACCTGGGGGGGGCCCGGCCCTCAAAGGGGTTGTGGGCCAGCAGGGACAGGGCCTGCGCGTCGTTGGCCAGGAGCTTGCCCGCCAGGTGGATGATCCACTCGTTGTGCTCGTAGGTCTGGGGGTGAGGAGAGGATGGGGTACTTGGGGTGCAGACAGCTCGGTGTCTGCAGCCACCCCCTCACTCTGAGAGCCCCCATGTGTGTGCACCCCGCCCCTCCCTCCTGACAGCCGCTAGCTTCAGGCTGTCGGCCTGGGGTCCCTGACTCAGTGCGCTCGGTGGTCAGCTCTTCTGAGTGGGGGCTTTCCTGGGGGCCTGTACCCTGTGGTGTTGGTCCTTCCTATTCTTGCCGCCTGCTTGCTCTCCTGGGTGCCTGCCCCCCTGCTGTCCTGTCCTCAGGGACCTGGATGGAGCGGGGCCGGGCCTGGCTTTGTCATCGGCAGGACCAGCAGTCCCAGGCATGTGACTGAGCCTCCTGGAGGCTGTTGTCCTGGGCAGGGGGCACAGTCCTGCCGGTTTGCTTGGGTCTGAGCGAAGGCTCCATGGATGCTGGCTGCGTTGTTACTGGCCACGCCTGCCTTGTTTGCCCTGGGGGAAGCACTATGAGAAGCCAGCAGGGAGGCCCAGCTTTGGGGGGGCCCTGGCAGGTTCCCGTGGGCCATGCCCCAGCACGGACTCCCTGGCCTCATCCTGTGTCTGCGGGGCCTCTCCACCGAGGGCCTCACCTGGAAGGCAGCGAACCACATGAGCCAGTCCAGGCGGTGGTGGTACGGTGAGATGAGGCAGGGGCGCCGCCTCAGGTCCCCGGGCTTGCACTTGAACTCGTAGTCCTCCCAGGCGGCATCGGGGGCGCTGGCGTTGGCGCTGGCTGTGCCCTGCAGGATGACCTCTGTGCGCTCCCTGGTGATGCTGGCGGGGACGGGGAGGGGCCATGTCAGGGCTGAGCCTCCCCACTCTGACCCCCGACCCGAGCAGGCCACAGTAAGGCTGGGGGTGCAGGCGGGGGCTGGCCGTATATGCGTGTCTACCCCGGGGTCTCAGTGGCTCTGAGGTACCTGCCAAAGGCCCCGTATGTGTTGACGATCCGAAGGGGGTTGAAGGAGCTGTTCATGACCTGCCGGGGGCTCAGCAAGTTGAGGACCACAGGGATGCTGAGCCAGGCCACCAAAACGCCCAGCACCAGGTTGACTGTGCCCCGTGCCACACAGCCTGCTGGGAGGGGGCACAGTGAGTGGGCTGTGACCCCCAGGCTTGGCCTCTCTGCGGACCCTTGGGCCCACAGACACCAAGAGAGGTACAGCTGTTCCCTCGGGGAGTCTGGGAAGGGCTCCCACCACGTGCAGCCCCCTTCTCCCTGAGCCTGGGATACCTTCCAGGCTGATGTGGGAACATGGCCGCTCCTCTCAGTGCCCCCTACAGCTCCCAAGCTGTCCCAAGACCTGGGCTGGAGCAGTAGCAACTGAGGTCACTGTGCTGGGGACCAGGAGACACGTCCATACCAAGCAGACGAAAGTGACCCTGCCCAGGCGTGGAGACAATGCGCTGTCTCCCAGGCCACTGGGGTGGGCACAGGGCTGGGTGCCATAGCCTCCGCAGTTGCACACTGGGGTGGGCACGGGGCCGGGTGCCATAGCCTCCGCGGTTGACTGGCACCAGACACAGGGACCACCTGGGCTCCCCAGCCATGCCCACCTTCCAGTGTCACCCACCGCGCGTCCGCGGGGCCCCAGCCCCTCGGGCCTCCTCCTTCTGAATCTTCAGGACTTGGTCCTTGAGGCGGCCAGGCCCCGAGGGAAACAGGCCGCCTAGGGTGGCGTCATCAAAGCAGGCGAGGCTGGGCACGATGGTCAGCCAGTTCAGGAAGCTCAGGTTCCCGCTGATGATGAGGACCACCTGCAGGGAGATGGGCTCCAGCCGTTGCACCTCACAAGCCGTGGTGACGCATGGGCCGGGGTCACGCCCTCCCTGAAGCCTGTGCTGATCCCAGGTGCCCGGCCCCCCTCCCCACCCAGGCCACTCGCCCGGCCTCCCTCAGACTGGCCCGGGGATGCCCATGTCCCAAACGACCTCAGAGATGAGCTCTGCCCCTGCGCCTCTGGTGAGGCCCCTCCTGCTGACCCCGAGTCTGGACTTGGCCCTGTGCGGAGGCTGCTGGGGTTCTCAGCTGCACAGCCGGGCTAGGATGAGTCTGTGTCTGTGGCAGCTGTCACCATGACCGGTGAGCGGCAGGCCCAGGGCGGCTTCCTCAACAGCCAGCCCCAGGGCCCTGCAGCTTGTCCTTCACTGGGGCGGAGTCTGGATGGGGCTCCTGCTGCTCCCCTGGACCAGGATTTGGGAGTGTGCTGGTGCACACGCCTGTGCCAGCCCAGCTTCCACCACGGAGTGACCAGGCACGAGGCCGGTCCTGAGCCCAGGTTTCCCCCGGACAGGGGGCCTGCGAGGTCAGCCTGCACCTGGATGCAGTTTAGCCGGACCCTGTCTTCATGAACCTCCTGGTGCTGTCTGCCAGGTGGCTGCCCGAGTGTCTGGTCACTGCCTCTCCTGAGAAGCTTCCATGGGCCCAGCTGGATCCAGTGAGTGCCTCTGTAAGCCTGGATGACCAGGGTCCAGGAAGCCCACATGTACTTAGTCCCCTGGGATTGGCACCAACCAGACAACTTGTCAGAGCTAAGGTCCCCCAAGTGCAGGACAGAAGGGGCTTCCGCTCCCTGGTCTGTCCACCAGTGTCGCCGCCTGCATCCGGGGATTGCTTCTCAGCCAGAAGCTCCACAGGGTCCCTTCTGGTAACCACATGTCTGTCAGCTGTTCCAGAGACTGAAAGTGGCACCTTCTACTTGATGCAGACCTGGCTGTCAAGGGTGTGGCTGGGAGTGGGGTGGTCTTCACTCGTGAGGAGAGGCTGCAGGGTCACGCCCGCCCATGTGCCTGGCAGGCGCCTCTGAGCACAGGGCCCCAGGGCCCCAGGCCAACTGCACACACAGCTTCTGGGTCCCTACAGGAGTGACAGACACAGGGGAGGAGGCACCAGCGGGGGGCTGGCTGGAGGCCAGGGAGGGTGAGGGGTGCACCCGGACACCCCAGCACCTCGCTAGTGCAGGTCCTGGCAGAGCATGTCCTGTCAGCACGCAGACTGCCAGCTGCAGCCTTTTCATTTTCATTATATAGTTTTCAAAGAGGTGACGTTTTCCATTTTCAGGAAGTCCAAGTTACACTTATAAAAAAACTTTACAATTTTGCTTTTTGTGTTCTACCTAAGAAATCTTTTCTTCATTCAGAGATATAAAGATCTAAAAGTTTTCCAGGTCTGGTTATTATGTTTAGGTCTTGGATCCATTTCAAATTAGTTTTTTGGGAAAGGTGTGAGATAAGGGTCACACCGGCTCTGCTCTGGTCCAGGCTCTGCCTCTGGGGGAGGTGGGCCTCAGATCCGTGAGGAAGCAGGGGCTCTGGGACCACAGGGGTCTCAGGTGTGGGAAGTCCATGTGGAGGTGTCTACAGGGAGACACCGCCTCAAGCACTGCCTCAGAAAAGGGGAAATGACACCAGGAGCTGCAGGTCAGCAAAGTAGAAGGAAATGGGGACCAGCAGCACCAGCAAGTAAACAGACCCTCAGTGACTGCAGACCCGCAGTGCCCATGGCGCAGTCGCCATGGTGATGAGAGGAGTAAGGATTTCATCAAGTTCCGCTGTCCAACCAGATGAACACATTTCTGCAGAGCAGTCAGACCTGGACAGGCTGACAGCCCCCAAGTAGCAGAGTGACCGAGTGCCTGCCCAGGTCGCTTGCATGCGTATCTGCCGCCAGTGGGCCCCTCTGCTTCATGGGTCCGGGCTGAGTGGGCTGTTGAGGGAGGAGGTGAGACCACAGGCCCAGGCCGGAGCTGTGCGGCCAGGCGAGGCTCAGGTGATACTCGCTCCTTGATTTGGCGTTAAAGCTGCGTCTCCACCCTGGTGACAGGGAGAGCGTGTGGTCACGGTGCCAGCCTGAGCCAGGTGCAGTGGGGAGCTGGGTTTCTGAGTCAGTTCCATGCACCACAGTGGGGTTTTGCGGAGCGTGATGTGAGATGTGTAGCTCTCCCTGGATTACTTTGGTTTTTTTTTGGGCTGTGCTGCACAGAGTGGGGGATCCTAGTCCCCCGACTCGGGATTGAACCCGTACCCCTGCAGTGGAAGTGTGGAGTCTGAACCACTGGCCCACCAGTGAAATCTCTCCCTGCATTACTCTGGAAAACTAGTTTTCCTGGTTCTGAGCCTAAAAATAGTTTCTATGTTTCACTGTCTAGGATGTTAACAAACCCCAGTGCCCAAAGTGGCCCCACCTGCGTCTGCCCTGGGCTGGTGGTCTCTCCTGCAGCCACGTCTGGCCGCTTGAGGTCCCTGGGCCTCTGGTCTTAAGCTGGCAGGGCTGCTCGGGGCTGACAGGGCTCTGCCCTGGGGTTTGCTGAGACCATGGGCTCCTGAGGGTCTGGGTTGGGGTGCCGGTAGGCCCTCCACCACCACGGGGGTGGCAGGGGTCGTGTGGCCCGGGCCCAGCTCCCCCTGGGCAGACCTCGTCTCCAGACCAGCAAGTCCTTAGATGCTACACTGGTCCTTCCTCTGTGTCAGCATGGACTTAGGGGAACTGGCCCTTTACCCCTCCTGACATGCCCATCCCATTGTGCTTGGGGGTGGGCTGGTCAGCCGGGTGGGGCTCTGTTCTCTCCCTGGCTTAGCTGTGCCACGGTAAGTAAGGATTGGAGATGGAGGGTGAGGACAGGCCGGTCCCCGGGGGTCTGCCATCCTGGTGCAGCTGTGGGGCCACATGGGTGGCAAGCCCTCTGCTTACTGCTCAGTTCGTGACTGAGACAGCAGCAAGAGCTGGGGAGAAGCCCCTGGTGCACCGCAGCCTCCATTGCGAAGACACCTCTGGGTCTGGCCCTGGGGGCCCCGCCTGCGTCCCACAGCCCTTGAGAAGGTGCGGGGAGCAGCCGGCCCCATCCACCATCACACTGCCCGCGGGCCTGGTGCCCGCTCAGGCCCCGCAGGCAGCTGACAGGTGGCTGTGTGCTCAGAGCCGCTAGGCTCTGGGAGAAGCCAGCAGTCCCACCACTCCAGCCACACTCAAACTGCTCCCGTCATGCTGCAGGGGCTTCCTGGAGACACCTGCCCACGTTCACCCCAGGTGGCCCAAGGGCAGATCTCCCAGGTGTGGCTGGTGCAGCCCACACCCTCACTGAGCTATAGCCTTGCCTTCTGGCCACTTGGGCCCCCCAGACCCCAGAGGTATCCAGAGAAACCCAGGCAGGATGCTGCTAACCTGAAGGACCCCTAGGAGTGAGCAGCATCTGTTCCTCTGCACCCTCACATGTACACATGCCACGCTGAAACCCAGACCGGCGAGCAGCAGAAGGAATGACGTTCAGTGAGAATCATGATCTAGGAGACTGACTGGAGGACTGTCTGTGATGTGCAGACGCAGGAGGCCCTTTGAGGGAAATGATGCAGCAGACCCAACAGCTCCCAGACTGACTCCTGGACAAGAGTGAACGGCACTCTCAGGCCTGAGGAATCCTGGGATGAGGGTACCTGATCGTTTACTGGAGTGAGACCTCAGCCCACATGTGTTCTGGCCATTTACCATTTCCAAAGATGAGTCAAAAGTAAAACAGTGTAAGCCTTTAGCCTGAAAAATGTTAAAAAATTAGAAGAAAAGGGAAAGTGAGGAAGGCAGCCCAGGGAGGCAGGACACCTGCCAACTGAGCTAGGAGCCCCACAGTGGTCTCCACTCAGCTCCACGAATGAGGGAGCAGCAGGAACGTGAAGAAGGGTGATTAGGACGCAGGGTCCCACCTGAGAGCTGAGCTGAGCATGAGGCCTGGTGGTGTCAGGACCCGCCACCCCTACTGCGGACGAGGATTGAGAGCCAGGCCCACAGACTCCAGCATTGCCCCTGCACTTCCTCTGCCCTGCTGAGCCGAGTTTCCCAAGAAGCAGGGCTGCACCTCGGGGCAGGTCTGCTTCATGCTCAGAGGCCACACAAATGACTGAATTTGGAAAAACGAAGCGTCTTAGAGATGCCAGGAGCTGGAGGGGCTGGCTTGCCACATGGGCACAGGGCAGGTGGCTCAGGAACCGAGAGCTGCAGTCCCGCCTGGGTTCCCTCGGCCACAGAGCTCGGAGGATGGGGCCTCCTCCGTGAGCCCGGGGAAAGTGCTTGACCCACCCAGGCTTTGTCCTCGCTGACCTCACTCGGGTCTGGAAGACCCCCGAGTCCTGGGAACTCATGTGGAGGGACACTGTGTGTCCAGGAGGCTCAGAAAGTGATTTGTAAGGGAATCAGCAGCAGTCAGGAGAGAATCCGCAGCACTGACTGAAAGGTAACAGACTGGAAGTGTTGAGTAGTCTGAAGGCACAGGCAGAGAAAAAACTTGCCAGGGGCAGTCAGAAGCCAACAAAGGGCTGAAGCCGGTGGCTAAGAATGTGAAAACAGCTACTGTCAAAAATGAAGGGGCTTAAGACAGTCCTAAGTAAGAGAAATATGAAAATGCCAAAGAACTGGATGGTAACTTGAGAGTTTAAAAAGTATCATATAAAACAATTCACTGGATAGGCTTTTGACAAAACTGACACTGTGAAAGAAGGAGTCAGTGAATCTGAGCCAGGACCACAGAAGCTCTGTGAAGTGAGGCACTGGGAGAAGCGGACCTGAGCAGGGCCTGGGGGACGGAGCTAACCGGCCTGGTGGACGAGTGACTTAAACCCCGGGAGGGGAGGGGGCGCAGAGGAACACGAAGGTACTTCTCAGTGATGAGAACTGCACACAGATCACTGAAGCCTAGGAAATCTCAAAACAGGATAAACTTGAAGAAAGCCACACCCAAGGCACATTGAATCAACATGCTGAAAAACTGAAAAAAATCACAGAGGCTGCCAGAGGGGAGGAGTCACCACCAGAGGGCTGGCGGCTCAGGGCCCCCAGACTCCCCAGCAGAGACCCCAGAGGGCTGAAGGGAAGTCACCTGCCAGCAGCCTGTGTAAGAAACGTTAGAAAACTTCGGAACACAAAGGGAAAGCGAGTGAGCAGGACACGCGTGCCGGCAGGCAGGGGCTGGACACGGCAGCCTGCAGGCTGCTTAAATGAGTCAGTCATGCAGCATGGTCGTGGCTGCTGGAGTGATGGCTGCAAAGCTTTAACAGTGAGTGAGAACTTGCGGTTGTGATGGGAAGACCCCACGTAGCCAGCAGGGTTCCCTGGGGTCCTTTCTTCCCCTCATTTCTGTTCCAAACCAGTTACTTTCCATCCTGAACCTGAGCCATCGGAGGGGCTCTGGGCGTCTCTGGACCCGTGAGGGCCACAACCCAACATGGCGTGAGGCTTCAGCTAGTGTGGCTTCTGCAGCAATGATGCTGCACGCGCCTCCCCTGGCCTTGGTCTGGGACCCCCTTGTCTCACTGGCTGTAACCCAAGCCTGGAGAGACAGATGCCAGGCCACCCCTGGGGGACCACAGTCTCTCCCACCCGCTTGTGGCAAACATGGCTGGTCTGACTGGGGCACCCAAGGGAGGGGTCAGGCGGCTCAGCACATGTGGGGCTGGGACCCCGGGAGTCAGCTCAGGCCCTGCGTTTTCTGAGGGGGGGCTTCTCCATCTTTGAAAAGGAGAATTGGAAATAGCACCCCCCGACCCCTCCCTGCCCTGCCCCACCCCGCCAGTGTGAGCCCTGGAGAGAGGCCGTTGCCGTGCAGCCCTGGCGCTCCTAGCCAGAGCCGCGGGGCCACAGGCCTGGGTCCATGCGCGCGAGGACACAGCACAGCCCAGGGCAGCCTTCCGAGGTCTGGGGCTTTGAGTTCTGTGTCCTGAGGAGGCTTTGCTGGTTGGCCTCAGCCATCTGCCCAATGACCTTGATATCCCGGCTGCAGACTCAGCTGCAGGAGTGGTGTGGGGCCAGCGCCAGGGCGGTCCTTTCTCCTGACAGCTGCAGGAGGGCCAGGGCCATAAGCTGCCTCCATGACGGCCGGCGTCTGGCTAGCCTGCCCTGGGCGCGGTCCTCTGGCCACTGGCTCAGGCTTTCCAGCTTTGGAGCTTAGGAGATGAGGACGCTCCCTCCTTGGCATGGCCACCTGAGTGGCCCTGACCGTCTGGGTGTGGCAGGAGGGGCTCTGGTTGAGGGGCAAGGCAAGGCCCCAGTTGCTGGTCCACAGGCCACAACCAGGAACACTCTGGCCCGGCAGGCTCCTGAGGCCCCGCAGTTCCAGCTGCATGAGGACTCGGCAGCCTAAGTCTGTGTGTGGCCCTAACGACCTCCGAGCAATGCCTAGCTTTCCCACCCCAGTCTTGCCTTGGTGGGTCCCCTGGGCCCAGAGACACCCCTCTCTGTCACTCCCCTGTGTGCCCAGCTGGGGAGCCTGACCCAGAGAATGAGGTTCACCAGAGCGTTTGGGGACAGAGGCCTGTTTCTAATGTGGCAGCGGGAGCCCCAAGGACTCAGGAGGCCATCGTGGCACCCCTGTCCAGCACACGCTGGCCGTGACCCTGTGCCGGCGGCCAGTGGGAAGATGAGCTGTGAGGTGCAACCCTGGGCCCAGGAGATGCCCCTCAAGGAAGGGGCGGGGTGCTTGCAGGTGACATGCTGTGGCCACAAGCCCCAGGCAGTTACAATGTTACTCCAGCTGCGGGGAGCTCACTTAGGCTGGTGAGGGCAGCTCTCTGTCCCCAAGCTGTAGTGATGTCCCCACAGCGATGTCCCCTGGGCTGTGGCTGATGTCATGGAGGTTAGAAAAAGCCGGACGTGGTGGGAGGTCAGGACAGGAGTCTGGGATGTGAGGTGTGTCTTTGTGTGGACCAGGTGCCATGGGGCTGGTGAGGGCCTGGTCCACGTCGGGATAGGAGGTCCAGCCGGGCCCACAGCAAAAGCTGACCACTGGCCCTGCAGGGTCTCTCCTTGGCAGAGCATGGGGGTCCGAGGTGGGGGTGGCGCGCCTCCCCAAGTAGACAACAGGCCGTCTCTGGAGAACTCGCAGAACCTTCCGGAACAGCTGTGCAAACTGAGCGTGGGAGGAGGTGCGAGTGCTCACATCCTCAGCCCTCTCCTGGGGGACAAACGGAAACAAACAGAGCCAGGGACCCTTGGGGTCGCGGGCGTGGAGACGAGAGCAACGTGCAAACCCACAGTACCCAGTGCCACGCCTGCGGAGGGCCGTGTGTCCGGGAGGCGGCCTTGCAGAGCCGGGGGCCATTGGTCCTCTCTGCTCTGGACAGCTGAGGCCTGGCCCCAGGAGGGCAGCAGAGCAGGCCTCAGAGAAGAGTCGCAGCCTGGGCCTGTCCTGGGCATTGTGTGGGTGGGCGAAGATGATACTGGGACGTGCCTGGACCAAGGCTTCCAGGGCCTTGGGGGACAGAAGGTGAGTGCATGGCTGGCCTTTGAGAGTGACGTCCAGGACCACAAGTTGGCATGACCTTTCAGGGTCCAGCTCTGGCTCTTCTCTGCCCAGTGTTCCTGTGCCACCACCGTCTACCACTGTCTACCCGGGCAGCAGACCCAGAGCTGGGTGGAGACCCAGCCATGTGGCCTGGGAGCCACCTACCCCTGAACCCTCCCAAGTCTGCATGGCCCCCACGGTGGAGGTGCCAGTGCCCTGGCCCGGGACACACTCAGCCAGGACAGTCCAGTTAGACGGTCCTTATCCGAAAGTGCCATGAGACATCACGTGCACTGGGAATAAACAAAGGCATTTTGAGGCTGCTGGGTCAAATGTCAACATAAATACCTTCCCAAATCCTATTTTCAAGTAGCTGAACCCTTCTACCTGCAACAGTAACCCAAACTTCCTTCAGTTATTTTTTTGTGACATGGCCATTTGCTTTTCCTTACCACTTGCCAGAGCTGGGCTCAGATTTCTGGAGAGAAACTAGTCAGTGAAGCCTGAGGGATGCCAGGAATACCCCTGCCACATTTACAGCCCTGAGAGGGTTCTAGTGGTCCCAGGCTGGTGAAAGCAGCTGAAGCAGCAACTCATTAATGCCCCCGCAGTCTCAAAAGCGATTCACGGTCACCCTGGTGACCATGCAGGCTGAGCAGACCCGGGTTCCCGCAGAGGCGATGTGCCGGGCGGGTCCTCTGAGTTGCCTCAGGAGCAGGACCCATGTTCTCCATCAGCAGAGGAAGGGGGAGCCAGCAGTTGGGCATCCTGTGCTAGTGGAGGACCGTCCAGCGTGAGGCTGTGTCCAGGCTGCCGGACCTCAAGAGTGTTTGAGCCTCTGCCTGAGCTGAAGTGTGTGCACGGCAGGGATGTGGAGGAGTGCCCCTGGGCTCCTGGGGGTGTCCCTTCTCAGAGGCTGTTGGGAGTAAGGGTCACCGGCCAGCCAGGGTTTTGCCCTACAGCCAAGTCCGGAATAAGCTGTGGTGCATCCAGACAGTGAAGTATCAGTCAGCAGTGAGATGAGCTCTCCACCCACAGACAGACACAAGCAACCTCAGCTGCACATCACTAAGTAGAGACGCAAGTCTGTAAGTACATTCTCTGTACTCTTGGCTCAGTTTTTCTGTAAGTCTAAAATTGTTCTTAAAAAGCCGGTTGATTAAAAGCAAAGTAGAGCTTAAAATACTGGCAGCAAAAGCAGGAGGGTGGGGAGGCCATGACGGCACATCGAAGCCACAGGACCGTCATGGCGGCAAGGACAGGGCTTCAGCATGTGCTCGCCTGAAAGGAACAGTATACTCGCTAATTAGGAGAGAGAAAAGAATGGAAGGAGAAAAACCTCAGAGGAGAGCTAAACAAGGGCAAAGAGAAAACAAAGCTGTGGAAATAAATGCACCTGCTGAAGTACAGGAGCTTTTCACTGAAAGAGCACCAGGCTGGCTGGAATAGAATCTGAGCATCATGAGTGACAACTCCCAAGGAAAGGACACAAATCCAGACTGTGAAGTAGACTACCACAGCTTGTTCCTTGACCAGGAAGTCTGAAAGCAGATAAAATGGACAAATTCCAAGGAAAGTGTTTTCCATTAAAAAACCTACAGAAAACAGAGACCCTTCCCATTCGGCAGCCGCGAAAGGTTGTCAGTGGCCACACAGACTCTGCTCCACCCACCACCCCCAGCCTGGTCCGGGTGGGGATGTCGGAGCAACGGTTCCGTCCTGTCTTCGAGGGTGAGAGCGAGACCCGGAGCAGAGCCAGACACGGCCAGCGTGGACAGAAAACCACCGACGAACCTCACTGACAGTGCGAAAACCCAGACAAAATGGTAGCAAGTGTACCCAGGAATGTGTTGGCATATACACAGCATGACTTGAGTTTGATTCATCCTAGGAAGGTAACTGACTGTGGTTGCATTTTTGCTAAACCTCACCCACTCATGACTAAAAATACCCAAAACAAAAAGCACAAAACTTCTAGTAAACAAGAAACAAGAGAATTTGGTAGAAGCAGCCACAGTAAGCAACCAACCAAGCCACAGGCTCCCTCCTGCTGTGGGTCCCCTCCCCCCACAGGTACCATGGAGCCCATGTGGGGGCAGCTCGGCACACGGGCCCCCACGCCGAGGAGCAGGAAGATGGGGGCTTGGTCCGTGGGGCGACGGGGCCCTGCGGGTCCACCCCCACAGGCGTGGCAGACAGGACGTGGGAGCTCAGGTTGTCCGTGGCGCGGCTGCTCACCTGGAACAGGACCTGCAGGGTCCCGTGGACGATGCACATCCGCCGTCCGAGGAAGACAAAAAAGGGCACCAGCAGCTCCAGGAAGTGGTTGCTGAGCGTCTCGAAGCGGTGGAACCACCACGGGGAGCGGTGCAGGAAGTAGGCCACGGGGTTGGGCACCGGTTGTGTCTGTGGGCAGGCGGCGGCCCTGAGGTGCGCCCAGGGGACCCGCCCACTGCACCCTGCCCCATGCTCCCACTGGCAGCCCAGGAGGCCGAGGGGGCTCTGGGGCCGCCCTGGCCGGAGAGGCACCCCTCCAGCAGCTTGCACGGCATTTAGCACTCCTAGATTTCCTGTACTTCTGATGCCAACCCCTCAGGGACCCCTGAGGGCCCTGGTGACCAGGCGCTCAGAGATGGGGGGGCACCTGTGGTCACAGCGCTGAGATGCTCGGGCGCTGGCGAGCCCCCCGCGAAGGGACAGGGTGTGGGGAGGAGGCGGGACTGAGGGAGCTCACACGTGGAGTTCCTCTCGGAGGACATGTAGGCTGGGGGCGCGGGGTCCCGGCCCCACGTGTGTGTTCCTGGGAATGGCCTCCACATGTGTGTGGGGTGGGCGGGCGCGGCAGGTCCCCAAGGCCCGAGTGTTGACTCAGCCGTGGCGCCAGCGCCCAGGGCCCAGCTGACGGGCCCTGTCCTCCCCACACACACGGCCATCCACAGAGGGGCCAGCTGTGCCGATGACATGTGGGGCTGGGGTGGCCGCTATGGACATCCAGCTGTCCATGAAGGGCATGGTGCCGGGCGGGACACCAGGTTCCCGCGGCCCCAGACCCGGTGGACCCACAGTCCCACCGACTTGGAGTGCGCCTCTCCGTGTCTGTGCAGAGTGGGTCCAACAAGGGCGCTGGGGTCTGCTGTGCACTCCTCCTCTGGGGCCCTGTGTCCTTTGCACCCGCACGGCCCACACATGCACGCATACAGACAGCACGGCTGCCATCGCCATCATAGGGAAGTGAGTGAGTGAAAGTCAGTCAGTCGTGTCTGACTGTTTGCAACCACATGGTCTATACAGTCTATGGAATTCTCCATGCCAGAATACTGGAGTGGGTAGCCTTTCCCTTCTCCAGGGGATCCTCCCAACCCAGGGACTGAACCCAGGTCTCCCACACTGCAGAGGGAAGGGCTGGGCCAAAGATAAACTGTGCTCGCGGTGTGACTCCTCCTGGACACGGCTTAGAGCCCAGTGAAAGGAAGCGCTCCTACGGCTGCCAAGCGTGTGGCCTGTGCACCTGGCCTGGGTGTGGCTGCGGCCTGACCCTCTCCCTCCCCGTCGTGGGTGATTCCTACGGATTAGCTCTGGACGCTGAGGCGCCTGGTGTGCAGTGCGCATGCGGAGATGCTGGCCAGGGTGCCCTGGAGGGGTGTGGTGTCCAGCTGGACACAGGGAGGTGGGGGCTCCAAGTGCGACGCCCCAGGGGAGGGCCACCAACCCCCCCTGGGAGAGTATCTTCCTGCTAACTTCTCAATTGGACACGATTTCCAACTTACAGAGTAGTTTAGTTGCTCAGTCATGTCTGACTCTGCAACCCCATAGACTGTGGCCTGCCAGGCTCTTCTGTCCATGGGATTTCCCAGGCAAGAATACTGGAGTGGGTTGCCATTTCCTCCTCCAGGGGATCTTTCCGACCCAGGGATTAAACCTGCGTCTCCTGCATTGGCAGGCAGATTCTTTACCGCTGAGCCACCAGGGAAACCCACAGAGAAGTTACAAGAACAGTAAAGGAACCCGGATGCCCAGCTTCCCAGATGTCCCCCTTCTTCCAGCCCCTTCCTCCTTGGGTAGTTTTCTGTGCCTCCTAACACTGAGCTGTGATGACCCTGTGTGGGTTTCGTAGGAGCACAGTGGCCATGACGCTCTTCTGCTTGTTGCCTATGACGTCCTGGTCATGAGAGCAGCTGGGGCCTGGGACCCCCAGCTCCTGTCTCTCTAGCCCCCCATCTGGGCGCTGGGACCCCGACTCTGGGACCCCCAGCTCCTGCCTCTCTAGCCCCCCGTTTGGGCGCCAGGACCTCAACTCTGGGACCCCCATCTCCTGCCTCTCTAGCCCCCTGTTTGGGCGCCGGGACCCCGACTCTGGGACCCCCATCTCCTGCCTCTCTAGCCCCCCATCTGGGCGCCGGGACCCCGACTCTGGGACCCCCATCTCCTGCCTCTCTAGCCCTCCGTCTGGGCGCCGGGACCCTGACTCTGGGACCCCCAGCTCCTGCCTCTCTAGCCCCCCATCTGGGTGCCGGGACCCTGACTCTGGGACCCCCCACCCCCTTGGAGGGAGCAGGCCGAAGCAGCCCCGGGGAAGGAAGACATCCCGCCTGACAGGTGGTGCCCAGACCGGGGGAGAATGACAGGGCTGGTTTGAGGAGCTCAGGCAAACGGGGCTGAGCCGATGCCACTGAGGAGAAGGTTGTTCTGAGGCCAGATGCCCTCGGGTGAATCACAGAAAGACCGCAGCGTGGGCCCGAGCGTGGTCAGCAGCAACAGGGAGTCAGAGGGCCCGTCCTGAGGGGATGGTGGGCTCAGCGTGCACTCACGCCCCTACCCATACCTGGCCACCCTGCTCACCTCATAGTGGAAGTCCATGCAGGTGAGGTCCTGCCAGCACCGGTCCCCTCGGATCTTGATCAGGCCCTGCAAGGATGGAGAGGACCATGAGCCACCCCTGGACAGACATGCAGGGGTGACGCAGAAGGGAAACTGCGAACAGTGTTCCAGAAGGGAACATTCAGTGTCTCAGGAGTAACAGCAAATGCAGGAAAAAGAAACACTCTCCTTTTTACGTCAGTTCTTCCTGTGTTTCTTTAAAACCCAGCTTTTAGACCCTGAGCATCATCACAGTAATGCAACCGTGAGGTTTTAGAAAAGGCAAATTCATAAAGCATGAGAACACAGCCTGACTTAGAAATGCATGGAAGATGGGGGAGGGATGATGTCCCACTGGGCCTCAGAGAGAGTACCCACCCCACCGCTGACACGACGGGAAACACAGCACATGGGAGACCCCAGCACTCAGGGCACAGCATGCGGGAGACCTTGGGCTCAGGAACTCCTGTGCTGCCCAGTCCACCGGGCAACCCGCTGCAGAGAGGGGCTCCTGTGGGCAAGCTTCCTGGCAGCCCCGCCGGTCTCCCCGCCAGGCAGGGGCCAGCATGCAGCTCTGCAGTGGCCAGGAAGGCGGTCGGCTCCCGTGCCTGCCACACATCTGTTCACCGGCCCTTGGGAATCACAGCTCCACCTGACCCCCATGTGGTCAGGAGCCATCTGTCCCCTGGCAGGAGTGAGGCTGTTGCTTGACGTGGAGGTTCAGCCCTGATGTCTGTCTCAAGGGACAGCTGCCCTGGAAGGTGAGAACCATGTCACAGAGACAGCAGACTGCACGGGAAGGCCTCTGGGACAGTTGAGGGCTCTGAGCCAAGAGTGGACAGTGTGAGTTGCCCAACTTGTGGCGGCCGAGCGGCCAGCACGGCGGGATGCCTGCCCAGGAGACGAGACGTGCCCCACTCCGGCCTGGCTGGGAGCATGGCGCCTGCAGGATGGGCGAGGGCACAGCCAGCTCCTGGCCTGGGCCCCTGTAGGAGGCAAGGATGCCATGGCACCCGGAACAGACACAAGAAACAGTGGAGCCCTGCGGCAGCCACACCAGTGGCTTCCATGGTGAGGCCAAGTGGCCGTGTCCTGGCTGAGCTCGCAGGCCGGGTGTGAGTCCGCCATGCAGCCCAGCAGTGAGTTCATACGTGTGTCCTGTGGAGGCCGCAATGCCCAACTGTCCTGGGCACCATCCTCACTGATGGCTGTCCCGCACTGCCCCCACCCCGGGGTCCTGGGTGCCCCGCAGTCAGGTGACGCCATGCCTGAGGACCTGCTTGCTGTGTCTGCAGACTCTCAAGACAGGTCACTCTGGGGGGTGGAGTCGAGGCTCTGGAAATGGGATTTTCTGAGATCATGGACGCACTGAGGAGACAGCTCCCAGCATGGACGCCCCAGACTCGGCTGCATCTGCATAGAAGCTCTGCTGCAGACCCCAGCATCCTGTTGGCCAGACGCCCCGCTGGCTCCTGAGGACAACGTGCCCGTTCACACGATGCTCCCCGTGAGCACGGCTCCGCTCCCTACATCCCCCGGAACCCAAGAGTGGCACTCTTTGGAGATTCACACCAGGCAGAGAAGAAAAAAAACAAAATAATTAAAATGTCACTCAAATTCTAAGCTGATATGAGACACTTAAAAATCTGAAATGTTCTTCTGGGAGCAGAGGATAATTATATTCCTCCCATCTATTGATTTCTCTCTACAATGCAGATGTCAGATTTTCCACGGATTTTTTTTCTTCCAGAGTAAGTGTCAAAGGAACAAAGCCTTCTTTGAGCCTTTTTCAGCCCAAAATTAATTCCAAAAAAATGGCACAGACAGGCCAGTAAGACACCAAGTGACCTGCAGCTGTCCACACAGCCCCTGCTCTCCTTGGGGAAAGGGCAAGTGCCAGGACCCTGGAACTTTCTGGGGCGGCTGAGGGGGCACAGGCCTCACCTCATGGGCAGCGGGTGGGGGCGGTGCCCAGGGGACGCAAAAGGGCTTCTCTCAGAAGCTCACAGGTCCCAGAACTCGCTTCTGAAAATCTCCCCCTTGGAAATGGGAGAAAGAAGGCCTTTGGCCACAGAAAGAGCATCACTTTCTTGATGCTACATCAGTCCCCCCACACCTAACTGGGTGGGGGGGGCTCCAGGCCTGCGGCGGGGGAAGGGGGAACGCCCCAGGCCCCAACCAACAACAACCCCCCCCGCAACCCCCCAGCGCTGCACGTGCCCTGCATCCCGTTCTCCCCTCAGAGGCTCTGCTCCAGGAACCCTGCGTTCATCTTAAGCACAGGCAGCAGCCCTCTGCCTGCTCCTCCCACAAGTGGACACAGCCCACCTGCAGGTGCGGGAAAGGGGTTGGTTCTCCCTGGAGCAGGCCTGCTGGTCGGGGATGTGACCACAGCTGTGGGTATGCGGGCTGGGGTGCCTCAGTTCTGATCGAATCTGGCAGCACCCTGCATCTTCTCTGGCCGTGGAGATGACCCATGGGACCCCACGTGCTCTGCGAGAGGTGGGGGAGCCCCGTGTCCCGACTCTTGATGACGCAGCATCTGAGGGTCACGGCTCAGCGCTCAGACCTCACCCGAGTGCACACGGGCTTGCTCGGGGTCTCAGGACTGAACAGTCCACATCTGAAGGGGTCCCAGCCAACCCAGGGCCACTACGGGCCCCTTCTCTCCAGGATGGGGCAGTGTCTGCTTTCAGATTCCCAGGTGGGGTCAAACAGAAATCTGCCCTCTGAGCTCACCAAGGCAGCACTCAGGTGGGGGGCACCGTGTCTGCCGTGGGGGACCTTCTGGGCTGAATGTGAAGGGAGGGAGGGAAACTGTCGGTAATGCTGGTGGGGGGCTCATCATGCCCCCTCCCCAAACCCTGAAAGCCTGTGAAAACTGCCCAGATGACCTGTGCCAGGGACAGACCTGCCAGAGCTGTGGAGCAGGTCGGGGGGGACGGTCCAGGGCTCCCCACCACTTCAGGTCCAGGCACCACTGTCCTGCTGTGGCTGTTCAGAGATGAGGGGTGGTGGTGGGGAGCTGCTGTGAGGGGGAGCAGCTGGACAGAGCCCTTGGACAGTGCTCCTCAGAATCCCAGGATGCCTCCCAGGAGCCGGGATGACAGACTGCAGGCTCCTCAAGGAAGCAGGCTCCGCAAGAAGTGGCCGCGATGCCTACTTGATTTGTTCTCGTTGGGAGGGGCGTGTTGCATCCCTGTGTTTCTTTTATTACATTAATAAGATTTTACTGCAGGGATTGACTCCTGGAGAGGAGGTTCTTCCTACTGAGCATCTGCTCTTCTTTGCTGAAATGGCACTCAAAGCTCATTTTCTCCTTCTACACAGACACCCAGTGATTTCAGCACTGTCTGCAAGATTGACTTTCCTTTCCCCTTGACCTGACATGGTACCTTGGCTCAATGTCAGTTGACAGCAGAGGTGGGTCTCTCTCCAGACTCTCCTCTCCTCCACGGATCTGTTTTTCTAGTTTAGATCAACATCATACTTCAGCTTTAAATTAACCTTAAGAATCAGGAAAAAAAAAAAAGAATCAGGAAGTGTGAGTCCTCCAACTTTGTTCTTTTTCAAGATTCTCTTTATGTGAATTTTAGAATCAACATGTCCAGACATGTCCAACATGTCCATATCTATCAAAAGCCCAGTGGGCTTTTTTGATAGAAACTACCTTGAATTTATATATACATCCAGGTGAAAAAGACATCTTGACAATACTGAGTCTTCTGCCCCGTGAGTGGGGGACACCTGTTTGCTTACCTAGGTCTTTTACGTTCATATCATCAATGTTTTGCAGTTTTAATGTATGTCTTCTATATCCTTAATCATATTTATTATGAGGCATTGGAGTTTTCAAGCAATGGTCCATAGTATTTTCAGAATTTTATTTTCAAATGTCTTCTTTATAGCATATGATGGACCATTCATTTTTCACATTGACTGTATCCTGCAACCTTGCTAAATTAATGTATTCACTTTGGTAGCTGCTTTTTAAGATTCCCTGGGTTTTGTATAATCATGTTTGTGAATGTTTCACTTCCTTTTTTGGAATCTTTATGCCTTTCTTTCTTTTTCCTGTCTTATTGGACTTCAACAGTGTTGGAGAGCAGCACCAGAAAGAGACATCAGGCCTGTTGAATCACGCGTGAATGCTCTCCCCATCGGCACGGGAGCCCCACCTGAGACGACCTCGCGTGGGCCCCTCTATGTGCCCTGAGCTGAGACGCAGACAGCTCTCCAGCTCCGTTCTGCTGCTGTAGTAAACTGCATTTCTGAGGTAAGACACGCCTCTCTCATGGCCGAGCTCGATCGGCTGATGTTCTGCTCGGAGTGCCCATGTCTCTGCCCGTGAGGGATGCTGGTCTGTCCTGCTGCGCTGGCCTCCTCAGGCTCTGGTCACATGGAGGGACCTGGGGAGTGGCCCCGCCTCAGCTGTTCTCCAGGGTGTGTGCAGGACTGCCTTACTCCTCTTTAGATGTTTGATGCCACTGCTGAAGCCATCTGCGCCTACACAGTCTTTCTGGAATGGTTTTTTACATTTTGTTACAAATCCAATTTATTTACCAGATAGGAAGGAAGCCCTTTCAATTTCCTGTTTCCTTCTGTCTCAGTTTTGGTGAGCTACATTTGTCAAGGAATTTGTCCATTTCATCTGTGTTGTCAAATTTACTGGCCCAAAACTTTCAGAATAGTCCGGGTGACTTTATGGCTGAGTCTCAGACAAAACCGCCTTTATCTGAAGAAACTGTCTTCTTGTGGGCCTTCAATCACGGCTGGCCCTGCTGCATCCTGGCCTCAGAACGGTGGGTCCTGGGGGAATCTCTTTCTCCAGTTTAGATGCAGCTTTTGTGTGTTAACCAGACAGGTGTGGTATGCACACAAAAAGCGTGGGGATCCCAGGGTGTGTGTGCAGGTGTGAGACTGGGGCTGCGGGCGGCACAGGTGGGCAGTAACCAGGCCCAGGCCGCCCTCCACAGCCTGCAGGCACGCGGGTTGCCCAGTCCAGACAGAAAAGCACATCCTCGTGCTGCCCCTGGGGGGCCCGGAGGCTTGTCCTCCTGCCCGATTATCCGCAGCCTCCTTTCATGCTGCGACCCCTCCATTTACTTCACGGAAAAACCACCTGCATCACGGACTTCCCTGCTGTCCAGTGGTTACGGCTCAGTGCTTTCAGTGATGGGCCCCGGTTCAGTCCTTGGTCAGGGAACTAAGATCCTGTAAGCTGTATGACATGGTAAAAAAAAAAAAACCCAAAAGAAAACAACAGCAACAAAACACAACCTGCTCCGGCCATAGCAAAGATGCAACTCTCGGTGAGAACTGCTGACTTTAGCAGTGATATTGCTCAGTGAGAATTTAGGGTCCTAAGATCTTAACTCTTAAGATGTGAAGCAATAATAAAAACAATGTGGTACCTGAGGAAAGGTAGTAAAAGATGTTGGAAAACTGTAGAGAGAACTCACAGGAAAAGAAAAGCCACGCTAAGAACCTAGTTAGTGCGGTGCAGGCTGACAGCCCCCCTCCCCGCCCACACTGCCCTCCCCCAACATCCACAAGCAGGGTGCCCCCACTGACGTCCAGCAGCAGACAGGTTCCTATGGCCCGTGCTCTGGCGACACTGCATCTTCTGGCTGCTGTCCTCGTGGGCCCTGGACATCCCTGCGAGGCAGCCCCTGCCCCAAAGCAGGCTCCTACAGGAAGAGGGCCCGCGGCCCCCACCTGTGGTGACGCCTCTGCCCCCCGGCTGCTATGGGGACAGTCTGGGGCCGTCATGTCACCTCCACGTCCACGGAAACGAAAAACAAGATAACTCGCGACACATAGGCCAGGCCTGCAGTCTGCAGGGGAGACAGGCGGGAAGCGGCAGCACCTGGCAGGCTGCTGGTCAGTCAGTCCCAGGCTTGAAGGACATGGCATCACCTGCTGCTCTGCCCAGGAAAGCCTGGCCCTGGGGTGTGCGGGGCTCTGCTCTCTGTGGGGCTGATGGGCGCCCAGCGCTGGGAAGGCTGTGTGCACACCCGCCTGTGCTCACGCCTGCCCAGACCCCCTCTCTCCTGAGGGACCTGTCATCAGTGGGGGCTGCACCCTTCCCGGGCTCCACGCGGAGGCTCTGCCCGCTGTGGTGAGTGAGACCCCAGCCTGTGGCTTGCTGTTTCTCAATGGTGTCTTTTGAAGAACTCAAGATTTTAATTGTCCAGTTTACCCATGATTTTTCCTTAACGGTTAGTGGTTTCTGTGCTGTGAGCAGTCTTGGCCTCTCCCAGGACTGAGGGTGTTCTACATTATCTGCGAGGGGTGTCTTGGTTTTACGTGTTTGTGCACTTCAAACCGCCTGTCGTGGGAGGTGTGGTAGGGGCGGGGGTTCGTGCACCCAATGGACACCCAGCACCTCTGGTGGAAGCTCCTTTCTGTCCTAGCCGACCTGACTCGCTGCCTTGTCCAAACGTCCGCCGCACCTGACGTCAGTGTGGCGCCGTCTGCACGTGCTGACCTGCCTGTCGTCGCAGCCTCGCCGGCGCTTCCCTGGCACCTCGAGGGCCTCAGTCCCTGGAGCGTCCGGGACCCACAAGCAGCATGAAGCCGACTGCTTTATTCCCACTCAAGACTCGGTCCTGGGCAGTTCCGTGCTCACCAAACAATCAGTTCACCAATTTTGAAAAAGAAAACTCTTTTAGGATTATGTTGGGGCTGTATGAAATCTATTGACTAGTGTGGGGACAACTGACTGCTGGCCACGAACAAGGAAGACCTCCTTGCCGAGGGCTCCTCTAAGCACAGTCTGGGGGTTTTCAGGGCCCAAGTGTCACACTTCTGTGAACACTTCCTAAGTATTTTATGGCTGTTAGGATGTATCTGTAACTTTGTTTTCTGACAGTTTTTGCTAGCAGATGGAAACACTGGCCACTTCCTGCACACGGGTCAGCTTCACGCCCTAGTTCTGCAGCCCTTGTGATCGTCCGTGTGTGGGATGAACATAGGTGATTTCACTTCCTCCCTCTAGTCCTCAGGGCTTTCATCACTTTTTCTTTCTTTAAAGACAAGCGAAGATCTTCAACACACTGCCGAGTAGCCATGAGGAGCGTGGCCAGCACTGCCCTGTTCCCAAGCTTACAGGAAAAAACATTTCAGTCTTTCTGATGTCAGCTGTAGGCAGTTTGTATAGTTATCTTTTATCAGGTTGAAGACATTTCCTTCTATTTCCAGTTTGCTAAGAGCTTTTTTGTTAATTGTGAATAAGTGTTTTAACACTGATGCGTTTTCTACGTCGAATGAGATGAATATGTCGTCTGATCTCTTTCTTCCTTACGTCTGGCAATGTGGTGAATTACCTTGGACTGCAAGGAGATCCAACCAGTCAATCCTAAAGGAAATCAGTTCTGAATATTCATTGGAAGGACTGATGCTAAAGCTGAAACTCCAATACTTTGGCCACCTGATGTGAAGAACTGACTCATTGGAAAAGACCCTGATGCTGGGCAAGATTGAAGGCAGGAGAAGGGGACGACAGAGGATGAGATGGTTGGATGGCATCACTGACTCGATAGACATGAGTTTGAATAAACTCAGGGAGTTGGTGATGGACAAGGAGGCCTGGTGTGCTGCAGTCCATGGGGTTGCAGAGTCAGACATGTCTGAGAGACTGAACTGAATTGAATTCACGTCCCACCAGCCTTGCATCCTGGGAAACCCGTGCGGACCTGACCCCTCCATGTACTCTGGATCACCTGCTGACCGTTCCTTGAGAGTTTCTGTTGTGCCCTTGAGGAACACTGCTCTGGAACCTCCCTGTCTGAAATATCATTGTCCACTGGCCTCAGGAGTGTGCTGGGAAGGGTTCCCTCTCATGTTCTCTTAATGTGTGTGTGTGGGTTTGTATCGATTCTTCCTTAAATATTTGACCGCACTCGTCAGTGGCGTGGTCTGGGGTTTTTGGTGGGAGGTGCTTTCTGTGTGTTTAATGACTCAGTTTATACGACGATTCGGCCACGCTGGCCCTCGCGAGTCAGTGCTGGACACCCACCTCTGAGTCCTCTAAATGCCCACTGCCCGTGCACGAAGCAGCTCATGCTACTTCTCTTTAATGTTGTATTTTGAAGAAAACCTTAGACTTCAGGAGAGCTGTAAAGACGGCACGGAGACTCTGTACACGTGTCCCTGCTGCTTCAGCCCCGCCTGGCTCTCAGCAGCCTCCCACGGACGCCTTGGCTGACGGTTCCTCAGGCTGTAACGCACGGTGTGATGTGGATCCTCGAGATGCTGGCAGAGACCAGGATCGTCTGGGCAACCTGATGGGACCCAGCTCCCACGGACAGACCCCTGCTGCTGCCCCTACTTTGCATCAAGCCAGCCCTGTCGCTCTGCTTTCCTACAAAGGATGGCGAATAATATCCAATATATTATATACAGACAGAATCAAGTAATTACACCTTTTAGTGCACCTGATAATCTTTTATCCAGTTGGTGCTCACTGTCAATCAAAACGTCATAAAAGGTGCTTTACCACATGCTAATGATTCACTGCCTCTGGGTCGTCGTGGGAGTTTGCTCAGCAGCGAGCTGTGCTCTGTGGCCCAACGGCTCCGCCACCCCGGGCTCTGCACCCGCTCGGCTGGGCTCCACCCCGGCCCTTGGCTTCAGTGCCACACACGAGGCTGCCATCCTAGGAGGTCCTGACACACGCCTTTGAAACACTGCGTATATTTTCATGCTTTTTAAAGCCAGCTGACAGAGAAGCCAGAGTCGAGCCCTGGGTGGACAAGGAACTGCTAAGACAGATTCGAAGCTAAGAATACCTGTGCACTGTCAGGACAGCATGTGGTTTCCTGTTTCATCAGAGGGCCCTGTGAGCCACGCCCACTCTCCAGTTAAGTGTGAATGAGGGAAGCACTGCACTCACCCTGGAGTCTGGACACACAGTCATCCGACGCAGGGTTTCCCAATGCTGCAGCCGCTTCTACCTGATTGGTCAGGAGCCCGCGCCACCCCTCTGACCGCCACCCCACGGAGCTCATCCCCAGCACCTGGTGTCGGGGGTGGGGCGGTGTGTGGAACTTGAACATGGCGCCTCATCCTGGGGGCACGCCGTCCTGCTGGAGGGCCAGTGCTGGCTGCGGCCGGCAGGAACGAGGGCGTCGGACACTGAGGGCCTGGAGGACACCGTGTTGCAGGGACGCGGCCCCGCTCATGTAAGATGTCCTCGAGTAAATGGAACATGGATGAGGAGGGGCATGGAGTCCCGCCGAGTCACAGTGGCTGCTGACGCCTGGAGAAGTGCGGCTCTGAGGGGGCCGGCAGGGCCAGGGGGCAGGGATGCACCCGCTGCACAGGCCCAACTCCCCGCAGGCGCGTGGTCGCCCACGAGGAACAGCTTAGAGCAGACAGACACCAGCCTGCCTGGATGGTGTGATGCGAGCGGAAGGAGCAGGGCAGAGGTGGGAGGCACCGTGCAGAGCCGCGCGGCCTCTGCCTGGTGAACCCCTCACTCCTATTTTAAGCTTCTGGAAACCCGCAGGTGTAGCTGAAACTGAGACATGCTCTTCTGCCGGCCGCGTGGAGGCAGGGGCCTGGCCCGAGGGCTGCGAGGAGCGTGTGGCAGGAAGGGGGACGCTGAGCACCCAGCCTTCGGGAGCGACACCGGCCACACAGGCAGGTCAGGAGGAGACGGGAGGCTTCCCTGGGCTGGGGTCGGACACTCCACACACCTAGGAGGGCTGGGGGCAGGAGTGACGGGGGCCTCCCCAAGTGTCGTTTGCCCCCTGGGCCTTGGGGGAGTCACGGGCTCAGAAACAGGCCCATGGACCTCAGGAAGTGGCAGGAGGGCACGTCCCTACCGGATATTAACAGGAGAAGGTTGTACTTACCGCTCCGAGCATGATTCTGAAAATCAGCCACCGGAAGCCCCACACGACGACCCGGGACGTGGGGGTGCCCCTGGGCAGCGCAGACAGCGTCCAGAGAGGGCAGAGGAAGATGCCCAGGAAGCCGGTCTCCAGGAGCTGGGACTCCCACCCTGCGGAACAGAGAGCGCGTGAGTAGCAGCTGCCTGGAGCACCCATGGCAGAGCCTGTGGCCCAGGCGGCATGCGGCCATCCTCGGGGAGGCCATGGGTGCAAGGGGCGGGTGCCAGGTGTGAGGTGCTGAGCGCAGAGCAGACCACAATCCTAGCAGCCCTGGTGAGGGGGGAGCTGGCTGGGGGTGGGGGATGCAGGTCCAGGCCCCGCCGGGTGGGGGCATGGTCGCCCTTCCCGCCGGGAGCCCATGTGAGGGACGCGGGTATGGGCAGCGCTCCTGGGTGCCCAGTGTTTGTAAACGTCTTCCTCAAAACCCAGACAAACCTGAATGAATTCTGAACCCCAGCCTTCAGGGCTGGGCGTCTGTGCTGCTCGCTCTGAGAAGCAGTGAGTGTTCAGAGGAGAAACGCACAGATACGCCGCCACCAATGAGTAAAGCACCAGCCAGGGCAGGTGGAGCTGGTGGGTTTGTGGGTTTTCCCTGCACAACTGTTTGAAACTCGGCAGTTTGAAACTTCCTAGTAAAATATGCAGGTAGAAATCCCGTTGACTCTCACTTTGTGGATTTCTGAAACTCAGTTCTCTTGGAAAGAAGCGGGCGAGTTTGCTGCAGAGCGGCACCTGGAAGCAGCGGTGCGGGTGTTGGGGGGCAGCCCCGCCCGCCTTGGCCGAGCCTTCTGGGCTGCGGGCTCTGGGGACAGCAGCGTGCACTCTGCGCCGTCTGGAGGTGACTCTAGAAGCAGAAGCCTGGATGGTGCCGGGGAGGCATGCCCTTAGGCAGGAGCTGAGCAAGGTGGGCCCCAGAGCCCTGAGGGGGCTCTGTGATCAGGAAAGCAGAGCCCAGGGTGACCGACCAAGGGGAGAGGGACCCACTGGCCCCCCGGACGCTGCAGCCAGGACAGCAGGAAAGGCCTTCCTTGTGTAGAACCTCGAGGGTCTGCACACTGGAGCCACCCACTTCATGTCCAGGTCTTGTCCTCATCATGGACACACACGACCTGTGCTTCTCAACGCGCTTCAAACCCCCTTTCTGTCTCAACAGGAAGAAGTGGACTCTTCCTTTCTCAGCAGCTTCTCTGGTGTTGTCCTGAGAGGTTGTGATTGTTAAGTCTGGACTCCTTTCCAGTGCCGTGGGGCATTTTATAACCTGCGGTTTACGGCAGCAGAACGTGGACAGGCAGTAACATGGCTCTGGGCGGACTTCACTCTGGGAAGGGCCCTCACAGGCCGCTTGGCCCCACCCACCTCTGCTCGGCCCCACGAGCGGGCAGGCCCCAGAGAGGGCAAGGCCAGAGCAGCACGTGCCCACCCGTGAGGGACCCGCATCCCTGGAGGCCCCCCGCAGCTTGCAGGGCCCACGTGGGTGGGCGGAGGGGGTCCCCAGAGCCCAGCCTGCCTTCCCTGTCACCTCACTCTGCACAGACGCGACACACAGAATTTTAATGTGCTGCTTGAGTGACACCCATCAAAGCGACGCGCGAATGGTGGCGCCCAGAGAGCTGCTAAGTGCCGGGAAGCAGGTGACGGGCCTGCTGCCCCCGGGGACACACGTGTCACCTGCCCTCCCGCCTGCTCCCCGCTCCCGGAACCTGCCTCGCCCTGCGGGGCGTGGGCACCCCGTCTCGCCCTCCAGGCCGAGGCCTGCTGCTGTCAGTGCTCGCCAGCACCCACCTGCTCTGCTTCTTCCGCCGGGTCAGCAGCTGCGGCGCGCACAAGGAGCCCCATTGTTCTCCGGGGCAGAGCTGCTAAGTGCCGGGAAGCAGGTGACGGGCCTGCTGCCCCCGGGGACACACGTGTCACCTGCCCTCCCGCCTGCTCCCCGCTCCCAGAACCTGCCTCACCCTGCGGGGCGTGGGCACCCCGTCTCGCCCTCCAGGCCGAGGCCTGCTGCCGTCAGTGCTCGCCAGCACCCACCTGCTCTGCTTCTTCCGCCGGGTCAGCAGCTGCGGCGCGCACAAGGAGCCCCATTGTTCTCCGGGGCCCGGGGACAGCCCTTCTCCAGACGCACACCCTCGCCCCTCGCCGAGCGCAGGCCCGTCACGGGGCCGGAAGGTTCCGCCTGCAGCAGGGGACCTCCCGCCAGGGGCTCTGGGGTGGCAGTGAGCAAACGGCAGGGAACCTGCCTGACCACCCCGCCTGCGGCTCACACTCCCACCGCTGCGGCTCTGGGCTGGCTTCCCGGACGCAGCCCAGGCTGGCCCAGCACGTGTGGGAGGTGTCCTTGCAAGCTTGAGGGTTGGCACCCCACCCTGCATGTGGGAGAGGAGAATGTGGGCGGCTCCGTGGTCCCCCTTTCCCGAGGAGTCGCTTACCCACTGTCTCAGGGGATGGCCCGACAGGGACACGTGGTGGCGTTCCACCCTGTCCTGACTGGGGCTCAGGCCAGCCACTGACAGTGGTCTCCAGCTCTGAGTGCAGACACACTCCCCACCCTGCAGGCTGCGGGCACCTGTGGGCCAGAGTGGCTGCGGTGGGCAGACGGGAGCTCCGAGCATCCCTCTCCTGGCCCATGTCTGCCGGGGCCACCTGCAGCCAAGGGAGGCCCATGGTGTGCTGAACATGGCCCTCAGCCTCCTGGCTGACCCCACTGCCCACACCTGGGGCACCTGCTCCCCGAAGAGCTGCTCCTGGACATGGTGCCAGCGTTCGGCCCTGTCCTCTAGGCCTGTGAAGAGTGGAGACGCTCTTAACGTTGAGGACCAAGGATCAGAAAAGCCGCCCTCAGGTGGCCTGCGTTGCAGAGCACACGGCCACCACGGGGTGGGCATCGCGCTGCAGGACAGACGCGAGTGGGGCCAGGCTGCTCCTGTGGGAGATGCTTGCTGACCGTTGGGGGCGCAGAGGGGGCCCCCAGGTGCTGTGGTCAGTCACCCAGGGTCACGGGCAGCACACACAGGGAGGAAAGGTGACCGAAAGCAGGTTTCAGCGGCCACGGCCGCCCCAGGGCTCCGAAGCAGCTGAAGCCTCACAGCCGCCTCGAAACTGTGACAGTTACTTAGGAGAGGAGTTAAGTGTGGCAGGCAAGGATCCTTCACATGACAGCGCCCTCCATAGGGTGAGCAGGAAGCCCATTAGCCTCACAGTTAGGAGCGGAAGACAGCGAAGGCACCTCCCCGGGACGCGGAGCTGCAGGTCTCCAGGCAGAGCAGCCGTCCTCTGCCGCTGCTGCCAAGGAAGGGCCGTTTCACACCTGGGACACATCCTGGGGACGCTCCTCTGTCCCGAGGCCACACCTCCTTCGAGGGGGCGGAGGGATGGGGCTGGGGGTCGCAGGTCAGCTGGAAGACGAAGGGGCTGGAGCAGCAGGCGGGACCCCTGAGGAGCACAGTTCAAGAGCGAAGGGCAGCCTTGCTGTGCAGTGTCCAGCCGGGGGGCGGGCCGCACGGTGGCTGGCCCGACACTGAGCCCTCCACTCGCCCTTCCCCAGATGGGACCCCTGCCAACACCGCCATCCATTCAGCACGCCCTGCGCAACACATGGCTCACACACCTCCCTTCTTGGTTGAGGCAAAATATAAAATGAGACCAGGTAAAAAGCACAAGGGAGGCCACACAGAACCTGAGGGAAACCTCTCCCAATGGTGTTTACAAGAAGCCGCCAGCCGCCGCACGTCATGGGGACACGCGTGTCTGTTGTTCCCGCCTGGATGGGGCACCAGGTGGCCGCGAGCCTGTCCAGTGAAGAAAGGAGGTCCTCATGTCTCCCTCACACCCCTCCCACAGGCCCCGCGTTGCGTGGGGCCTTGCCTAGGTCTGCTGACCCCTCCAGCTACTGGAACCGCCTGCAAAGATGCCCTGTCCTCGGGGAGCCTGGGCCACCCTCAGGCCCCAGAGGTACTAACACTGCTGCCCAGACATGCAGCCACTCCTGCTCGCCCCCCCTCTCCCCACTGCCCTGAGCTGGGCCTGGCCTCCAGTCCACTGCCCCCCCACCCCCAGGACCCCATCTGCCCAGGACTCCTCCAGAGCTGGTGTGGGCTGGGCAGGTCTTCTGGGACAGGAGCATCCTGGTTACTTCTCACATCTGTGAAGATTTCAGCCAGAGCTTGGATGGTGAATTTGAAAGAGCTGGTTAAAGGCTTCACGCTTTAAATAAAATAATTTAGAATTGCACGCTCCCAGTTAGGAAGCATTTAGCAAATTGCCAGCCTGTGTCTCATGGACGTCCTTGGGCACTGCAGGGAACAGGAAGTGACCCGTGTGACCTGTGCGGTGACCCTCCTCCTGCTGCACTTGGTCACAGTGCTGGTTAATTCTCGGTTGCTGTGGCAACCAGACTTAAGAGCCCCAGGTGTCCCCTGCTGCTCTGGTCCACGCAGGTGTCACCAGCCAGCCCCAAACAAGACCCACAGTAATGGCCTTGGCTGGCTTTGCAGGCTTGGGGTAAGCACAGGAATGCTTCCTGTCACCGGAAATGAGACTTGGCAACAGAGATTTCTCAGGATTAATATATTCCAAACATTTAACATATATCAGGCTGGAGAGTATGGTGCCTTACTGTTTCTTTGTCTTTTGTTTCCTGTGCATGAGAATTAGCTGGGGCTCGTCTCAGAGAGCGTGTCAGACTCCTCGCGAGAGGCAGCCCTGGACACGAGGGCGAGCTCTGAGCCACCTCCGGCCTGCACAGGCCAGGCCCGCTGGCCACGCGCAGACGACGCCCTGAACGCGGCTGGAGGAGGTCGGGGCAGATCCACTGTGTCTGCTTCACGGGACAGCTGCAAGTCACCGTCCTGGGGCTGTGGTGCTGAGTCTGAACAAAGTATTCAGGTGTAACTCTAAACACAAAACTTCTTCCACAACAAAGCAAGAGATGTGTTTTTCAGAGTGATGGCCTCCGTGAGGAGGCGGACGCGGGCTGACGGACGCCTCTGACAGTGTTCCCACTTGGGCAGTGCAGGTGCCGCCAGAGGCGGGAGTGAGGCGTGAGCAGAGCCCGCCCCGAGTGTGCATTGCCGCAGCCCCCCACGCAGAGCGCAGCCGCGTGGAGACTCGCGGGAAG